GCCACCGGACATCTGGCGCCCTCTGCCTGCATGCAGCTCCTTTGGGTCGTGACCCATGTATCCCTTTGCCCCTTTGACTATATATACTCCCTCATCCCGTACGTTTTAGGGTTAGCATAGGTTTAGCTCATGTTTGTGTGAGAGCCTTGCTCATCCACTTGGTTACTTCTCCTTAGAGCTCACGACCTCTTCGGAGAAGATCCCCCAAGCGGATTCAAGACCCCTTCAAGGGAAGACCCCCAAGACCTCCTCACGGATAAGAACGGTTACTCTTGTATCTCTCATTTGTTGATTTTGAATCTCGTGCTACCTTATGTGTTCGGTGATCTAGACCTCGTGTGATCAATTACTTGGCGGTTGAGTGTTTCTCTTGTTCCTCCCCGTGATTTCCCCTGTGTTCTTTCATGCGTTCTTCGTCTTTCACCGTAGGAACCACTCCAAACGTGAAAGATCGTCACCATAGGGTTCCGCCCTACATCACATAGCTTATACCATGTCAATGCGTCTCCCTTCAAAGATAAAGGGAAAACCTTCTTCTTGATAACATCTTCAGGCATACCTGCAAGCTTAAATAATCCACAAACTTCATCTACATAGAATAGGTGCAAGTCGGGATGTAATGTTCCATCTCATGTAAAAGCATTAGCTAGTAGTTTCTCTACCATACCCGAAGGAATTTCAAAGTAAACATTTTCAGTAGTTTCAGTAGGTTGAGGAGCAACTCTTTGATCTACTGGTCGGGGTGAAGATACCCCGAACAAGCCCCTCAAAGGATTATGCTCCATAGTAACAAGTGACAGTAAATTTCAGCACACTATATAAATTTTTCCTTACAAAAGGCGCTTCACTCCCCAGCAATGGCGCCAGAAAAGAGTCTTGATGACCCACAAGTGTAGGGGATCTATCGTAGTCCTTTCAATAAGTAAGACTGTCAAAGCCAACAAGGAGCAGAAGGAAATGACAAGCGGTTTTCTATAAGGTATTCTCTGCAAGCACTGAAATTGTAGGTAACAGATAGTTTTGTGATAAGATAATTTGTAACGGGTGACAAGCAATGAAAGTAAATCAGGTGCAGAAAGGTGGCCCAATCCTTTTTGTAGCAAACGACAAGCCTGGACAAGTTCTTATATGAGAAAAGCGCTCCCGAGGACACATGGGAATTATCGTCAAGCTAGTTTTCATCACGATCATATGATTCGCGTTTTTTACTTTGATAATTTGATATGTGGGTGGACCGATGCTTGGGTACTGCCCTTTCTTGGACAATAATCCCACTTATGATTAACCCCTATTGCAAGCATCCGCAACTACAAAAGAAGTATTAAGGTAAACCTAACCATAGCATGAAACATGTGGATCCAAATCAGCCCCTTATGAAGCAACGCATAAACTAGGGTTTAAGCTTCTGTCACTCTAGCAACCCATCATCTGCTTATTACTTCCCAATGCCTTCCTCTAGGCCCAAACAATGGTGAAGTGTCATGTAGTCGACGTTCACATAACACCACTAGAGGATAGACAACATACATCTTATCAAAATATCGGACGAATACCAAATTCACATGACTACTTATAGCAAGACTTCCCCCATGTCCTCAGGAACAAACATACTACTCACAAATCATATTCATGTTCATAATCAGAGGGGTATTGATATGCATTAAGGATCTGAACATATGATCTTCTACCAAATAAACCAACTAGCATCAACTACAAGGAGTAATCAACACTACTAGCAACCCACAGGTACCAATCTGAGGTTTTGGTACAAAGATTGGATACAAGAGATGAACTAGGGTTTGAGAGGAGATGGTGCTGGTGAAGGTGTTGATGGAGATTGACCCCCTCCCGATGAGAGGATCGTTGGTGATGACGATGGTGATGATTTCCCCCTCCCAGAGGGAAGTTTCCCCGATAGAACAGCTCCGCCGGAGCCCTAGATTGGTTCCACCTCGTGGCGGCGGAGTTTCGTCCCATAAGCTTGCTTCTGATTTTTTTTCTGGGTAAAAGACTTCATATAGCAGAAGATGGGCACCGGAGGCCTGTCAGGGGGCCCACGAGGCAGGGGCGCGCTCTAGGGGGTGGGCGTGCCCCCCCCCCCCACCCTCATGGACAGGGTGTGGGCCCCTGACGCTGATTCCTTCGCCAGTATTTTTTATTAATTCCAAAAATGACTTTTGTGGAGTTTCAGGACTTTTGGAGCTATGCAGAATAGGTCTCTAATATTTGCTCCTTTTCCAGCCCAGAATCCAAGCTGCCGGCATTCTCCGTCTTCATGTAAACCTTGTAAAATAGAGAGAATAGCCATAAGTATTGTGACATAATGTGTAGTAACAGTCCATAATGCAATAAATATCGATATAAAAGCATGATGCAAAATGGACGTATCACGGCCGTCCTTTGGAGCCTGCGAACCACGCCCAACAAATCAACTGGCTTCACGCCCTTATTCCTCGTGTATGGGGCTGAGGCTATCATCCCAACGGATATCGAGTTCGACTCCCCTCATGTCACCATGTACACGAAGGCGGAAGCAAAGGAGGCACGAGAAGACGGTGTCGACCTGCTCAAAGAGGCCCGGCTGGTGGCACTCAGTCGGTCTGCCATCTACCAGCAGAGTCGGCGCCACTACCATAACAAGAAGGTCAAGTTGTGTGTTTTCTGCGAAGCCGACCTGGTGCTCCTTGTGGTCATTATTTTCAAATGCATAAAGGCCTATGACAAGGAGACCCGATGTCTCCGATTATGTTCAACATTGTGGCAGACAATTGGCAGTTCTCATAGTTCGGGCCAAGGAGAAAGGCCTGGTAGGTGGCCTTGTTCCCCATGTGGTGGATGGGGGAGTCCCTATTCTACAATATGCGGATGCCACTATTATCTTCATGGAGCATGACCTTGCAAAGGAGAGGAATATGAAACTAGTGTTGTGCGTGTTTGAACAACTGTGTGGTCTAAAGATCAAATTCCACAAGAGTGAATTGTTTTGCTTTGGTAGGGCCAAAGAAGACCAAGATATCTATAGGCAATTGTTTGGTTGTAAACTGGGGTCTTTACCTTTCAGTTATCTAGGCATTCCAATCCATCATAGGAAATTAACTAATAAGGAGTGGAAGGGTAAGCTTATGTCATATGGAGGATCGCTAGTATTGATAAATTCAGTACTCACGAGTATGCCTTTTATATTTCTTTGAGGTTCCTAAAGGGGTATGAAGGAGACTTGACTTCTATCAATCTCGTTTTTTCTGGCAGTCAGACGAGGTTAAGACAAAGTATTGCTTGGCAAGATGGGATATTATTTGTTGACCAAAAGACCAGGGGGTCTTGGGATCGAGAACCTCGAGATTAAAAATAAATGCTTTTTGAGCAAGTGGCTATCTAGGCTTTCTCAGGAATATGAGGGCATGTGGGCACAAATCCTTAGAAATAAATACTTGCACTCTAAAACTCTTGCTCAGGTTACCGTAAGACCTAATGATTCGACATTTCGGAAGGGACACATGAGAGTGAAAGAGACCTTCTTCCATAGGGTGAAATTCATTGTTGGGGACGGAACAACAATGTTTTGGGAGGATACATGGTTAGGCGACGCACCGCTAGGTCCTTCCCTGTACCATGTTGCTCAACGTAAGGAGGATTACGTAGCAACAATTTTGCAGATGGTACCTTTGAATATCCAGTTCAGGAGGTCTCTAGTAGGGGAACAATGGAACTCCTGGTTACACTTAGTGCAGAGGTTGATGGACGTTCAACTCTCACATCAGGGAGATACCTTGAATTGGAAGCTAACAGGTAATGGAGTGTTTTCGGTCAAATCGACGTACATAGACCTTATTAATTCTGGCCCAATCCCAAGATCGATACACATTTGGAAAGTTAAGGTTCCCTTGCGAATCAAACTTTTTATGTGGTTTGTGCACGAGCAAGTGATCCTTACCAAATATAACTTACTAAAGCAACGATGGGTAGGTTGTTCACGATGTGGCTATTGTGTTCACGACGAAACAATTCAACACTTATTTATTGATTGCCCTCTCGCGAAGTTACATTGGCAGTCCATTCATATAGCTTTTAATATTATTCCTCCAGTTAGCATTGATGCGTTGTTTGGGACGTGGCTAAATGGAGTGAATCCCGATATTGCGTCAAGTATTCAGATTGGAATATGCGCACTTCTTTGGGCTATATGTTACTGCATGAACGATATAATTTTTAGCAGACTTTATATGATTAACTTCTTGTTGGTTATCTTCAGAGCTACGGCATATGGATCCGTACGTGGTTGCTACTATGAGCTCCAGGAAGCATTTGGCTACTGGGTGCAACCGACGGGAGATGGTAGCACGGGCTATCTTCAACCGGTTTGGATGGCGGTCGAATAATAGGATAGGTCCTTAATGTCCTTTCGTCCAGCCAGTTGTGGCTTTGAGTTGCTTTATTTTTATTTGCTCCTTTTGTGAGCTGTACTCTGCAGACCAGACCTTTTTTTGTTGAACTTGTTTTAATAAAGTGGCCGCATGCATCTTTCTATGGATCAATGCTTAGTCGGGCACTCAGAGAAGCAATAAAACTTTATCATATAACCAACAAGTATGCTAGCATCATCAGTAGCAAAATTTACATCGAAGCTACCCGATGATTAGAAGCACATAAGAATGACACCCGCAGTGCAACAATTGGAACTGGGTCATATATATATATAACAATGTCTGTGACAGATAGTATCAAAACATACATGTTTCAAGCATGTTTCTGTTTTTTTTTTAATCTTAATCTGCAGTTCTGCACTTCATGAATACATGTTCGTTAATTTCTTATGCAAATTACACAGGAACCATATAATTAACTTTATGATTGAGCTTCCATCGTCCACGCGTGCACTGAAAATACAAGTTGATGCTGCAGTTTCATGCAAATCAGTAAATTTGGTTAACAATGTGGTTTGGCATGCGACTAAGCACATATATCTTTTACTGAGCATGTAGTGGACGAGGTAGTAGGTGTTATTCATCCTCATGCTCCTGCTGCCGCAACTCAAGGTCAATAAAAATCCTTGGTTCACGTGCTCTAGTCGACAATAATAATCCGGCAGCAGCTTTTGAGCTGCTTCCGCTGGCTTGCTGCTCACTCGTTCTCATGACCCCAGAAAGCTAATCAACACACATTAGTTTATCAGGTATCAGCTTGCTTCCATGCTTGCAATAAAATAAAATGAACCTAATGCATAGCTTTAAATAGCGTGTTACGCCTCTTAGCGGTGGACCTCTTCTAAACGCTATAGTGCCCTATTTAAAATATTTGTTCATGTGTTTGTAGTAAAGTCCGTTACCGCAAGACCTCTTGTAAATACTATAGTGAAGCTATAGCCCGCTATTTAACACCATGACCTAATGTCATGCTATGCTAGCTAGAACTGTTGTATAATTTGAATCTAGTCGCCCTACATTATAATGTATTACTCCCTCTGTTCCTAAATATAAGTTTTTGGAGACATTCCACTATGGACCACATACGGAGTAAAATGAATGAACTACACTCTAAAATGCATCTATATACATCCGTATGTGGTCCATGTTGAAATCTCTACAAAGACTTATATTTAGGAACGGAGGGAGTACATTGTTTGTGCCATACATTTCTGGTTTGTCCATACCAAACGTTTGAAACATTTATATTTTTACTTGAATATGATTGATTCATGCAGCCTGCCCTCATTTCCACAAAGGAAAAACATGCATATGATTCTATTACGCTATAGAGGATGTGCACTTAAGTAAAATACACTAGAGAATACAAAATTGTTAGATGTGCCCAAAGCATCTGCGTATATATGCATGGTTGCTATACTAATCCTCCAAATTTGTCTCTTATTTTACAAATCATATATGTGTGGTCATATTTTCAAGGATTTGCTAAACCATGCATATATGTAATAGAGAAAGGTCTGATAGCTCCCGGGTGCCCCTACACCCTATATGAACAGTAAATTCAAAAAATAGATTATTTTCAGAAAAAACTGAAACTTTGCGAAATCAAATATGGTCAAACTTTCTAGGTTCTTGCAAGTTTTCATAACAAAATATCATGTAGAGAAGGGTGTACACACGAGTTTCAGATTTCAGTGCTCAAAACTTCAGGCACTAAGATCTTTTTCTTGTGTAGAGCTCCTCAAATGTTTTTTTTTGGCATGAAAATTTGCAACCACCTACAAAGTTTGATCATATTTGACGTTGCAAAGGTTTCTAATTTATTTGAGTTTACTGTTCATAGAGGGTGTAGGGGCAACCGGGACCTGAAAAAACACTCTCATATGTTATATTGTTATAGCATGTATTCATCGACGATTATTTTCAAAGTATTTATAAACTTCTAGTTGACAAACTAGGATTTATTAGCTAGCACTCATTTAGTACACATAAGAATCTGTTACATTTCTTACCTTTTTCTGCAGCTCTATGTTTCGCTTATGAGCAATGCTCAACTTCTTGCCAAGTTCTATATTTTCCTTCTGAATAAGAAATCCCTACAAAAGCAAATTCCATCTCATCATACGTCAGCTGCTAATACCAGGCACATATACAAGAATCGGTGCTAATTAAGCTATTTCAACACCAACAACAACAGAAGCAAGAACATAGGAAGAAGATTTAGTGAACCTTTTGGTTGAGTTCGTGGATCTCCTCAGCGATAACTTGCTCCTAAAGAAATCAATTACAAGTAAAGCATGTGTGAAATAGAAATAAAAAATAAAAAATAAAGGGAAGGGAAGGGAAAGGGGAAAGAAAAGGGGCACCTTCCTCTTTCGTACGGAATGCAAGCTCATTTCTACTTGGTTCACGAGAAATTGTAGATCCCGAACAGTTGAACCAGATAGTTCCTCTCCCAATAGTTGCCTACCATCAGAGGGTAGATTGTTTAACAATGTCAATAACAGCTAGCTACCTAGTTAGCTTCTCCATTCATCACAACAAAAGTTGCTACTAGTGGATCTTCAAGTCAAAAATGTTGACATGCATGTCAGTATGGCACACTCTATTTGTTTAATTAATTTTCATATAAAACAACTCAATAAACAACTTATTGATGGTTCTACTAATGGGAAATTATTTCAATGCATGGGTAATAAAAACCAAAGAATATTATCGTTACCTATTATTGTGTTGTAAGTTCTGCACTTGCTGCCTCAAGGTTGTAACCTCCCTCTGCCATAACTGCCCAACGGATAGAAATGAAATAAGATATAAATAAGAGGCATGCCATGTTAATTAGGAGATCAATAGCCATGCTTCCTTGCCTAGTGTACCAGTGCATAACGACTCGACAACTATCATCCACCCACAACTAGCATGGAACACTGCCTGCCGTCGGAGGAAACTTCCCATGCC